TCCTCGTCATCTTCATCTCCACCGTCTACTTCATGTCCAAGCCTCGGACCGTTTACCTTGTTGACTACTCTTGCTACAAACCACCCGTCACGTGCCGTGTCCCCTTCGCCACGTTCATGGAACACTCGAGATTGATTCTGAAGGACAATCTCAAGAGCGTTGAGTTCCAGATGAGGATTCTTGAACGGTCGGGGCTGGGAGAAGAGACGTGTTTGCCGCCGGCAATACATTATATCCCTCCGAAACCGACGATGGAAGCTGCAAGAGGCGAAGCCCAGATGGTGGTTTTCAGCGCCATGGATGATCTCTTCAAGAAAACTGGCTTGAACCCAAGAGACGTCGACATCCTTATAGTGAACTGCTCTTTGTTTTCTCCGACACCATCTCTGTCGGCTATGGTGATCAACAAGTACAAGTTGAGGAGTAACATCAAAAGTTTCAATGCAATGAAAGAGCATCAAGGCGCCGGTTTGATATCCGTAGATTTAGCTCGAGATTTGCTCCAAGTTCATCCGAATTCCAACGCCGTGATCGTTAGCACAGAGATCTTAACCCCGAATTACGAAACATGTCATTGAAGAAAAATGGAAAGATCAAGTAAAAGGAATAAAGTCCAAGAAAAAGGAAAAGAAGATATTGAGCAAAATATTGGAAACAAGAAGATGAGCTATGTATAAATACAAGACGTGGGAGATGCAGAAAGACATCCCAGCAGAACAGAAAAAGAGAGTAAAGAGCAAACGAGCTGGAGAATCATAGGTGTGGAAAACACGGGTGAGTGATACTTGAGAGAGAGTGAAGTGCATCTGAGGGGGAGCCTTCAAATAACAGGCGAACCGCTCAAAGGGCCTAGACGAGTCTAGGGTTACACGGGGTGTGTGAGGCACACATAGTGTATGAGCTGATAGAATTCATGTTGTAAGGGGAGAACAAACTCAGGGGGAGTTGTGTTCTTGAGATGGATTAGGCTAGAACAAAAAAGAGTTGTAATTCATTTTCTTTACAAATGAATAGAATCAGTTGGGAAGTTTTTGAAAGCAATATCGTGTGAGTTTACTTTTTCAATTGGTATCAGAGCAGGTCACTGATCGTAGGAATTGTTCCTCTCATATCGGTGTTAAGATCCAGTCTCACACAATGTATGGATTCAAGGAGATTCAGACATTAAAGATGTCTACGATGCTTGACTCGGAGAATTACAGCCATTGGAAGGTCAAAATCAGTGCGTTTATACGTGGTATGGATGAAGATGCGTGGAATACAGTAATAAACGGATGGATGCCTCCCACTGAAGTAATAGGTGGAGTTGAAAGGATCAAAGCAAAAGCCAGATGGACAACCCAAGAAAAAAGGAGCTCTGCTTTAAATCAAAAGACTTTATCAATCATCTTCAGCACTGTATGTCATGAAGAATTCACTCAAATTCAAGGATGTCAAACAGCAAAAGAGGCATGGGACACTCTAGAACTCATCCATGAAGGTACGTCTAAAGTAAAAAGAAACAGATTGGATATGATTGATTATCAGTTTGAGCATTTAAGGATGGAAAAGAACGAGGGTGTCAAAGAGTTTTGTGGAAAGTTGAGCGCTTTGTCAAATGAAGCAAGTGTACTTGGAAGGAAGATCAATGACGAGAAGCTTGTGAAGAAACTTCTCAATAGTTTACCAGCTAAGTATCACTCTCAAATCTTGGTTTTCGAAGGTACGAATAACTTGGATACTGTAAGTTTCAAAGAAGCTGTAGGCACCTTTGCAGCACATGAGTTAAGGATGCAACTTATGAGTGGAAAATCAAGTACACCTCACAATCTGGGAGTTGCACTTCACGTACCGGAACACTCTCAAATCTTGGTTTTCGAAGGTACGAATAACTTGGATACTGTAAGTTTCAAAGAAGCTGTAGGCACCTTTGCAGCACATGAGTTAAGGATGCAACTTATGAGTGGAAAATCAAGTACACCTCACAATCTGGGAGTTGCACTTCACGTACCGGAAACATCTTCTCCAAAACAAAGAGTGAGTTCATCTTTCAAGGATAAAGAATTATCAGAGGATTCTTTAAAAGATGAGATGTCACGTTTTATTAAGAAGTTTGACAGATTCTTCAACACAAGAAGGGAAGCTTTGCAAACAGATGATAAACGTTTTGGCAAATGTTTGGAGTGCAATGGAACTGGACATGAGAGAGCACAATGTCCAAGTATTATCAAGAGGGAAAGTCTGTTGAAGAAGTTGAGTGAGGTTCAATGCTTTGAGTGCAAGGGATTTGGGCATACCAAGATGGAATGTGTCAAGAAGAAGGGAAAATCACGTATCATTCATGAGGAGGAGGAAACTGGGTCGGACAGTGACGATGAAGAATTGTCTAACCTCATTGCATTTTTTGGACTTATTGAAGAAGGAGAAGAAACATTGGAAGATGATTCAAGTGATGATGAAGAGGTAACTGAGGATGACTTGTTCAATGAGATGACCAAACTCGTTCGAATGAATAGGTATCTGCTGGATGAGAAGAAGCAGCTGGAGAAGGAATTAAAAAATACTCAGATCCAGCTGACATCTACTCAGCATTAACTGTCCCAAAAAGAAGAAGAAGCTTCACTCATGAGATGTCAAATTGAAGAGACCAAGAAAAATCTTCATCTTCTTGGAAATGGAACTGGTAAGTTGGATCATCTACTTGGACAGGGAAGGGGTGCACGAGATCAATCAGGGCTTGGATATGTGGGAAATAAGGAATATCACCCAACATTCGTATCCGGAGGAAATCTTGAACGAGAAGTACCTGACTTGGTACGAAGTACTTTTGGCGCCGTCAGAAATACTCCAAAAGTTAAAGTGGATCTACGAACCTCTCGAGAGCAAAAAGAGTGCAGAAACTGCTATTACTGTGGGAAGAGAGGACATATTCGAAGGAATTGCTATTATCTACGACAGAAAAGGAACTCTAATTGGTACGTTCATCCGAATTTGAATCACTCTTATTTGTCTCATCCTTCGAAGAATCTTAGGTGGATCCGTAAATCCGATGTGTCATGCAATGTTGCTTGTACGTCTGAACAAACGAGTGGAGATGATGTCTGATATTTGGATAGCGGGTGTTCAAGACACATGACAGGACGTCAGAAGCTGTTGACGGATTTTGAAGTAGGTTTGAAAAGTGACAATGTCATATTCGGAGATGGAAAACAAGGGAAGATCATTGGTAAAGGAACTCTGGAATGTGGTGGAGTATCCAAGCTAATGGATCTTAAGGTCGTACAGGGCTTAAAGGCTAATTTGATCAGCATAAGTCAACTATGTGATAATGGCATGGAGGTGAAGTTCACAAAGGATGCGTGCTTGGTGACCAATACGGATAACAAGTGTATTTTAACTGGGCAGAGGACATCAAGCAATTGCTACACATGGGTTGACAACCAGATTTTCAGAAACTCTCTCAAGGATCCTAAGACACGAGCCTAGAATTGAGCAATCAAAAGCTCAGGTATGGTTTTGAATTTATGCTTATACACAGGGGGAGAAAAGGCTCGAAAGGTATATGATCATACACATAGGGGGAGAGATGATACAAGAAGAGAATGATCAGAAAGGTGTATGGTTGAAGATGGTGAGCGAATATGCATGGTTGAAATCGTTGAGGATGATATCAAGGAGCCAAGTGGATGAATGTGTATTCAAGCATAAGTGTGTAATAAGCATAAAGTCAAAAAGGGGGAGAATGTTAATGCAATGAAAGAG